CCCGGTGCGGATGGCACTGACCTCCCTGCCCGTCCGGGTCTTCCCCCCGGTCTCGGCAGCCCAAGCCTTGCCCAGCGGACGGCGTTGCCCTCTTTTGGTTCACTCTAGCTCAGGGTTTGGGACCCTCGCCTGCCTTCACTGAGTCGCCCAAGGGACTAGAGGGGATCGGGGGTCTCCAGGTGGGTATGTTTCTGGGGACGGCACTTTTGCCTCCGAAATCGGGCCCGTTCACACGCCACTTGGCAGCGAAAGAGTGTCGAGTCCGCCGCCGTCCGGTAGAGAAGCCACCTCCATGATCTGGAGCGGGGACATCCCTTTGGCGGTCGGGTCGCCTCTCGGCCAGGAGCGGTCAGGGGGAGGTGCCCGATGCCCCCGGGGCTGGCGCCCGCTCCGGTGAAGGGAGGGCTCCGGGAGGTGCCCCTGAGAGAGGGACCCGCGCCATTCCGCTCCCCGCCAGGCTATCTATCAGAGCACGGGGGAGCAGGCGTGCTCCCGGGGACTCTCACTTCACTCCGAGCCTGCCCGGGCACCGAGGCGCAGGGCAGCCTGCCCCGGGACTGGGATCTGGCCCTCTCCAGCAGCCACGTCTATAGCAAACACCGCCTTTGTGCCCGATACCTCTAAGTGCTCCCTAATCATCTACGTTTGCCATCTACTGCGCAATAGCTGAAATATATTTCCCCCTTTATTCCTTCAATTTCCCGAGCCTGCCCGGCGGGTTGCTAACGCACATTTCCTCCTCTTATGACCGACAGAGAATGTAAACATGTTGGTAACTAGGAGGTGGGCCTCATTCTGCAAACCGGGATCTCTCCATAGTGACTCTCAGTAATGACCTCTTTAGCATAATAAAGCCCGGGGGGCGGGGAATCTTTGAACTGCGGGGCAGGAGATTGGAATAAGAGCATGTCTGAACTTATTCAAATGTATGCAACAAGTTTGCTAGTTCTAAGGTTATCGGATGTGAACAACAGACTTTTTACCTCTTGTTTTTGCTTGCCTGGTTGCTTTATCTAAGGAAATACTTTACCGACTTCAGGTATGTCATTAACTTATATGAAATAGAAGGAAATAACAAGTGACAAAACCAAGTCCCGAATCCACACTTAGTCCCGAAAAACCCAAAACCACTTTTCCCC